ACCAACTACCCATCGATTCCCATACATTGCTCGGTGGCAATGCATCAGGGTCTCTGCGCTTGGGACACGGCAATCCCATACCATACATATTGTCCTCATCATCAAACGTGGTCTCGGAATCATCATCCAACAGCCTTCGGTCATCATCAACATGCTGGATCGTATCCGGATCCTCTTCTTCCCCTTCTATTCCCTCTCCTGCGCTGGGACCGACACCCTCACGATATGTCCATACGCCCTTGATCCACCTGAAAAAATCACTAATCATCCGACTTTGCATCTTCGGTGTCCATACGCGTCGATGTCGTCGTTCCGGGCGAGTTTCCAGTCGATTAATATGATCAAGAAGATCTCCCAACAATTCCGCGAACCGCATGACGTGGTATTGGTACACATAACAATTGAACAAGTACCGATGAGAAGGTATCTGGTCGAGCCCATAATCACCCGCATCCGCATCCGCAGAAGGTTCGCGCTCGAACACATCCGTGTACGGTTTAACAACATTCAACCTCCTCACCCTTCGGAACTGGTCCAATTCTTCCAAAAGCTTTGCGCGCACATTCCGAATTTCCGACACGCGTTCTTCCCATTTGATTTGTTTTTCCTTCTTCCTTCGCTCGTTTTTTGCTTTGGTGTTGACGAAGGAGGTAAGAGAGGTCCACCCGAGCTTCCAAGACGCTCCATCCCGTGATCCAGCACTCGCAAACCATGAGTGAAGGCATCCTACGGCAAGCTGGCATTGTTCGAGAAGAGGGACACACGACTCCTTCAAAAGGAAGTGAGTTTGCGTGGTATGCCCTTCTGTCTTGGGATCGTGCCATACGTGCGCCTCAAGGTCGAGGTATCTCTGAGATTCGAATACGCCAACTGGTGAAGCTACAACATGATGGGATCCATGAGAGGAAAAGCGGTTGTGGCTGCGATTACTGTGGTGATGCAGAGCAATGTGAAGAAGATTGCTAAGATGATGTTGATGCGGTAGCTCTTGATGTCTCTCCACTGGTGAGGATGGAGAGAGGGGAGTTCCAGGTCTGGTCGTTGCCGGCGACATGGGGAACCGCTCTCTGGTAGGATCAATCAGAGCGAAATAGAGCATGGTACCATTCGCGCGAACAGCGATACGCCGGACGAGATCCTGTAGCGGACGCCAGTCTCTTGGACTGTACCGCGAATAGACCACTTCGGAAGGAAGTAATCGTGCAGCTTGGGCCAACGGACCCAGCGCTGCTTCACTTTGCGCTATGACCCCCGCTAGAACATTAATGTTCTCTTTGAATTCGTCAACGCATTCAGCTCCGGGTGTTAATCGGAGTAATTTTAGATGGATTTCGGTAGATTTTTGCAACGGTGTAAACACCGCGGCTAGGCGTTTGGTAAAGTTGCTCGAGAGGGATTCCGGGAAGAGAACCAGGGCGGCTAGGACGGATATGACAGAGTGGAAAGCCAACGGAACCAGGATAGCTCGCCCAACTATGTAATATGGGTATGGAATTAGAGCGGCAGTGGTGAGACTGGTTATTAGACATATGCATGAGAAAAGGGTGGCAAAAAGGTATGGACCCGGTCCCTGGTGGACTCGAATGTAGAGCAGGATGGCGGTTCCCAGGAAGATGAAGAGTCCAAGGACCACGCTAGGAGCCGCTTCGACGTATTGGCCGTTTGAGAAGAGGGCGGTCGATACAGGCACTGAAGGGTCGGAATTGTTACGGGCGAGGTTAGCGAAGAACATGCCTAAGCATGCCCAACCCCACGTCGCTGTAAGAAAGATTATAATGAGTAGCTCCCGTTCCAACACGGCGAGAAATGGGTCACTGGGCGGAGCGAGAAATGCGGCTATGAGTAAAAGAAAGCTGGCCTAAACAGGTACGATATTCAGCTGATTTGACGAGAGAAGAGGTATCATTCTTATTACATACCTGGCCTATCCAAACCTGGACAGCTGGAATCACAAAAAGCACAGAAGACACCCAAGCAGCTACTGCACATCGCAGTGTGATTCGGATTTTTGGCCATGTCCAATTCGCGGGAATCCAGGAAAGATATGAAGGCCATTGAAACAGCCGGCGTGGAGGATTTGACAATGAGAGCTTTTCTTTCTCTGAAGTCTTGGAATCGCTTGTATTCCGATGCTCCGAGGAAGATGGGGAATTGGATTGAGTGTTAATGACTGGTGGACGGATACGTGTGCGTTTTTCAGTCATATTCGTACGAGGTTAGTTGGGCGTTTGGATCATCCGTTCGTTCAATAATGATAATGATCTGCAAAAGAATTCAGTATTGTGGATCCTCGTACTTGGAAGCCCGTACAGTTTTCTGTATACTTAACACGCGATCTGCGAGGCTATAGGATTTCCAGTGGATCCAGCAAGACGCAAGAAAAGCTGAAGCCAATCTGCAGGGACTGTTAGAGATCAATATACTGGCTTACTGGTAGCGGTAAGTTAAGTACATGAAAAAAGAGAATCAGAAAGTCGTTATGTCATTATCTCAGCGGAAAAAACCGCCGGCTGATCCGCACGCTTCTTACGCTTTGGCTTCTTGCCTGCTCCCTACGCGTCCACCGCCTGCGTGCTACTGCCAGAAAAATCCATAGGTTTGCGCATTTAGAGCAGCACTGTCTTCAACCTGATCCGATTTCGCGACCTTGAATTCGCTCGTAACCGGAAGAAAGCCACAGCAAAGAATTCGAAAACTTATGCAAGCAATTTATACACTGGCAGCACTTTCCTTTGGGCACTTTCCTCTGTCCTTTTCCGCTGTTCAACTCACTTGACTGCGCACTTTAAACTGGACCTCACAGACCTTTACAGTGCAGCGAAATGGCGCTGCGTATTATATGAACTGATCAAGCTCAAGTCCCTTTCTTCCTCGACAACTTATTGCACTGACAGGGTTTTTTAATATAACTTGGTGACTTCTGGAGTTTGTGCGTGATTCTGAACAACATCTTTCTTTGCGACGCACAAACTAATGACACGCTTTCAAAGGTGGCAAATTTAGGTCTCCTGAAGGAAAACTTCTTGCAGGAGTTCAACGGAATAACTTGGTCCCTGTACGCTGGTTTCTATACCTTCGAGACTCCATGAAAACACCGAAAAGCGGCTGCACAGTCTCGAGACATCTCGGACTTTCATGATCAAAGTGTCTCTTCATGCCGGCACACATTACTGCGCAAAGTTGCAGAAAGACTTTCCCTATTCCCAAATCTCGACCTTCAAGGCACACTGTCAAGTCTGTCTCATCACGGGCTCGTCCCATCAACACTTCTACATGTAAAATGTTTCTTGCCTCAAACTTTCAAGACTGCTTTTACGGTGTCTTAACGGGGAAAGAAGGAGTGCAGGTACAGTTTTGAGACGCAATGCAGTCGTAATGCCTGGCGATGGTTCCAGGTCCGCAGCCTTGAATAGCCACCGATGTTTTTATACCGAAGACCGTTCAATATTTAATAGTTTACCACGGCGATCACTCGCACTCTACTGCGCGGCCTTGCATCTCCTTACATTCACTGTCAAGCCGAAATTTTTTCGTATAAAAGGACAGCTTCCAGGTCCGCAACTTCCCAACCTCCTTACACTCACTTACTCTCTTTTTCGTGCTTGGTTTACTACGGCTCCTCCTACATTTCGACATCGAAATCGAATACAGTCATTACATCAAACTTCCACTCACTACACTACAAACAATGCCTTCCTTCGCATCCAAACTCACCACCATGGCCGTCCTCATTCAGTTCCTCCTCCCCTTCCTCCTCCTTCTATCCTTCTCCTCTCCTGCACAGGCACTCGTCGTTCCCGCTCATCATAGGGCGTTAGCCGTTCGCGACCATCGCGGGGGACACAGCCACGGAGAAGGACCAGACGCCGGTTCTTCTTCTGCAGCAGAGGCTACCTCCACTGCTGCTACCACACCCACTAGTTCCAGTTCTGCCGCAAGTGCTTCGTCTACTGATGCATCGTCTTCAACGACGTACACCGGCGGCGAAGCTACTTATTTCTACCAGGAAGGCGCTGCTGGCGCGTGTGGAACCGTGCACAGCGACTCGGACTTGATCGTCGCTATTGACGAGGCCATGTATTCTTCGGATTTGTGTGGTAAGACGGTCACTATCACCAATACAGCCAACTCAAATGTATGTTCTTGTCTTTCTTGTCTCGTCCTCGCTAGTCTTACTCATCAATCATTTGCTAATCGACTAGACTGTAACCGCAACGGTCGCCGACGAATGTCCTGGTTGCTCAAACTCGGCTTCATTGGATTTGTCCGTAGCTGCCTTTGAAGCACTTGGAGATTTGAGTGCCGGTGTTCTTGACAGTGAGTTACTTTTAACAGCCCGCAGTTGGAATGAAGAGGAATTGATCTTGTTTTATAGTCACCTGGGTCCTGTCTTAAGTGCTCGGTCTCCCCTATAACTCACTCACACATTCACGAAAGCTTCGTGAGTTGTGACTGGGATCTGACTCGGAATACGAACTATGGACTTTTCCTTCATCTCTTTCGCTTATCCACGACTTGGACTTGCATTCCCTATTCGTACTATAAATCCACTATCTCGTAGTACTCACGGATGTGTACGGTTCTTCGGTTGCTTTTGCTTTGGGCTTTCTTGTTGCTGCATTTATCGTTCATTTTCAGTTTCTTCTTGAATTTCACTTCCTAGTTCGTAGCACGAATTTTTTTTACGATTACGACTGCGCAATGCGCATCTGGATACACATGGTGCATCCCTTATCATGGCACCGGAACTGTCAGTATTCTATTTTCCTCCTAATGTACTGTGTACTACATTTTTATTTTTGGATATCAGTCGGCTTCAGTCCGAGTCGTCTTCAATAATAACATGCATCTCGTATGGTGCAAGTATTGATCATGAGCGTCCAAAGACGTGTATCAGAAAGCGTCCAAGATTTGTGCAAGGTATATAACTAGTGAACAGCAACATTAACGAGAAGGATAGAAAAAAAGGATAGTAAAAAACAGAACAGGTAGGACTCCATCGACGCCAGCAGGATTTGAACCTGCGCCCTCAAAGAGGAACAGATAGAACCTGTAATTGGAGGGCATTCTAATCTGTCGCCGTAACCACTTGGCTATAGCGCCTCGATATCCGGCGCAAATACTCTTCCCAGCTCCACGTATGTCTGATCGATCTCTTCAACAAAAGCAGCAACTTTCCCCAAGGGGCATTCGGCAGCAGAACGGCAGACAAAATGCGCTTAACGTGACCTGTCAAAACCATGCGACCATAAATAAGCGCCGTAAGCATTCAAGACAGCCATGAAACAGCTACAGAGAGCAAATTATTGACGTTGTGCAACCAGAGGCAGCCAAAGGCAGTCAAAAGTTGAAATCTCATTTTCCTGAAGTGTAGAACTACGCTAAGAACTCTACGAGAGTGCACATAGACTAAGCGCTCTCTCGGATATTTCGGACCCGCATTATCGGATCAGACACCCCTTGCCTATTTTAGTAAGGGTGCATGATGTCTGCCATTCAAGTGCCGAACGCCCCTTGACTTTCCCATGACATTCTGATTCTACTCAGAGTTATTGCTTCCGCTAGTCGAGCCTTGTCATTAACTTTGTCGCGCCATATTTTTCTCAATCATACAATGGATGGTTTCACTTGATCGCAGCTCTCAACACGGAGCCTGCTAAACATCGAGCGCCTGCAAGGCTGGTATATGCTTGCGTACTACCCTCTCGAGCACCTAAGCTGGTCTCGCATGCTCAACTATATATCGACCTATCTCTGTTCTTGGCGAAGAAGGTAACACATTATTCAACCTCATACTGGTCCCACAGCTGGTCGGGCCGGGGTAAGGAGTCCGGTTGCTTGCCATCCACTCCTGAAAGACACATCGTTTCTGCATCTCCTGCTTATCCGCGAGTTTCAAGCCCACCTTGCGGAGGGTACGATATCTCGGCTGAAGCAGCGTCCTGTCCTTACGCAGATGCGCAAACTGTAATGCGGCGTAGGGTGCCCGGCATCGGACAGGCCATACGCTGACTGGATTCACCTAGGGGTCAAACGGATTCAAGTATCATTTCTTATAACCAACTACAGTCAATAAAAATATAATATCGACATCAAAAAGTCTTTCGTCGGTCTCGAATATTCGAAGCAAACCTCTACTGCTTGGCCTTTTTACTACCGTTGGGCTTTCCAGATTTACCCTCATGCGCTCGCTTTGCAGTCGGCGCCTTGATTTGCACGAACATACCCCCACCAAAGTACTTGCAGTTGCCCGGCTGCGCCTCGTTACCCGTACGTTCCACATAATGGGTGCTGGAAATGAAACGGATATCAATGGCATCGTACAAGTAGAACGGACCACCGTTTCCCTCCGGTTCATCATCCGAATCCGAATCTGAGTCCGATTCTTCGTCGTCATAAGCGCTGGGCATGCACTTGATCACGACAGAGGATGCATCGGAACCACTGTAGCTCCCATTTTCCCAATCTGTTTCGGCATATAACATGATAGGGCAGAGAGAGACATTGAAGGGGGACGATTCCTCTGACAGGCGCTGGTAGACCAGGGCATCGACACCTTTCAGATACTGCGGAAGGATACTTTGTCGGCGATAGAGATGTCGAAGAGGAAAGCCAACTTCTTTGGTGCTCGGATTCGAGAGGTCATTCTCCAGAGCCTGGATGAGACGATCCAAAGCGCCTTCGTTCACCGTGGCCATATTGGGCAACTCGGATTTGTATTGTTGCAAATAAGATGCGCTGATTTTACCGAACAGCGGTTCGTGGTCAACCTCGTCCTCGTCGTCCTCATCTGCGTCCGCATCCGGGTCAGACTCGTCACCGTCGCCAGCGTCTTTGACGGAATTCTCTGGAAGATAGACATCGTATTGGAGAACGATGCGCACCCCTTCGGTGACGGGCTTTACTTTGTGTTCCACGTCGGTGTAGAACGCTACAACCTGAAGCTCTGGCTTTTCACTTTCACCCCTTTTCAAAGGCTGCATATCGAATTCGTTCTCGACTCCGCGGTGTCGAAGGCAAAGCTCCCCGCCTTTCCAAGAGGTATTGAGAGATACCAAAACGGTTCCGTGGTGATTGTCTCCGTGGGTCGTGTCTCTGTGCCAATCGAAATGACCTTCTTGCTGATAGACAACCAGCTTGTAGAGTGTAAGAGTCGGCTTCCGATGTTTTCCGATAAAAAGTGTCCCTTTCAACACATCTTTGATCTGACCTTCCATAGAATTCCATGCACCCTTGAATCCCGAGGTATCCAAGTCCTTGGCTTCAATCTCAAAACCTTTTCGATAGTCGAGATCCAAGACCGTTTCCTCCCCGCGTCCAAACTTGGACTGATTCTCCTTCGCGATTTTGAGAATCTCATCCACCTGGGGCTTGACAGGACTGCCAAAAGAGGCTTTATCCTTGACTGTGCCAAAATTTTGGGTGGAACAAGTCCTGAAGGACGTAAACGGCGCACAAGCGAGGTCGTTGAGAGCGTTGGAAATCTTTGGATTTTTGACAATCTGAAAGCCTTTTTTGTTGTCCATGGCTTCTTGCCATTTCTGGAAATCGAGGACAGGATGGATTGTCGGCTCTGACATGGCGAAAGTTTGCAGCAAAGAAAGGGGCGAAATTGAAATAGGAGTCATTCGGAAGAAGTAAGAGCGACGGCTAATACTATCACCCTTCAACATCAATGTCCCGGGCAGGCACACGGAACCAAACCCCAGCCAAACCTCGTCGACTAGTATCCCATCCATATCCTCTATTGTGCCTTCGAGCCTGAGACGCTACCAACTTCCCTGCATTTCGACTTGTAAAAGGTTATTTTAACAGAACACTTGAATCCTAACATCACAGCTACCTTTCATGATCAAAAACAGACCCTGCCATGTAATTGACTGACTCGACCAGTGAATGTTTGGTACCTCAATCCCATCTGGGATCTTACAACTTGGTGTTGGACTGAAGAAGCTGCAGCTCGTCCAACTGCTCAAGCCATCAATGAATTCCTGCAAACCTTACACATTGATGATGATGGCTTCAGCAACATTGAGCCATGTTAATGAGGAGTCAAAGGAGGGAAAGCCACAGACGCAAGAAGCTTATCCGTTCAGACCCTCCTCTGAGATTGGACCAAAGATGTCGCTCAAGCCAGAGGTCACCACTCCATCTTCACTTCATCATCTACCACGACAAACCATTACTCCAACTCCCAACCATTACTCCAACTCCCACCGAGGACATGGAGGAAGATCCTCATGAGTGGCCGGAATCGGAAAGGAATGCCAAGATAGTGTACAGTAAGTATTGTACAGCTTTGCCTCACTTATTTTATTTTATGCTGGACAGAAACTTGTACTGTAAGGATTTCTCCGTTACACTCGCTTCCGCTGACATCCCGCTTGAAGCTTTTCTACTATACTTTCCTATTAATGTCAGTTTTATTTCTGGATGTCAGTCACCAGTTGTCTCACTCCGACTCGCTTTCAGTCATATAAAATCAGGAGCATTTAAAGGCGTATCTAATATTTTGACAGTGCGCGGTATATAACCAACGAACAGTAACGTTAACAAGAAGGATAAGGAAAAAATACACCGTGTTAAAGCACGTCTACGACGCCTCAAAGAGGAACAGATGATCCTCCCTTAGAAGCTATTCTAATCTGTCGCCGTAACCACTTGGCTATAGCGCCTTGACATCGGGCGTAAATACTCTTTCCACCACCACCACGTCTCATCGATCTCATAAACAAAAGCAGCTTCGAGACAACTCTATTCCACTTTTCTACGGCTTCCACCAGAAATCCTCAGCCAAATCATCGATTTCTGCCCCAAGTCGAGCCTTGTCATTCTTTGTCGCGTCTCAAAGGCAGTTGGAGAATTCAGCGTTCGCTCTCTGTACCGTGATATATCGTTCAAAAATGCCTCTGTTTTTATAAAGTGCTGCCATGCATTGGTCACGGTTGATTTAGCTGCGGCGTCAGTAAAGTATCTGCGGATAGATTTCGAGTGAGTAATGTTATTTATCGGGTGACATATTTTCTAATTAAATAATTTTTGTAGCGGCTTCTTTGGACAAAGTCGCTACCTAATATCTGCGTTTTACCGAATCATGAGCAAGGTTCTATGCTGTTCTATGTCGGTTACACAACTTGCGAAGTCTAAAGATCCTTCATGACGAATCTGGTTACGGTCAACCGATGAGCCTCCCCTATAACTCACTCACACATTCACGAAAGCTTCGTGAATTGTGTATGGAAACGTTTCTTACTGATACTTCACTTTCACAGCATCTGTATACTTCGCAAATCACGATCGTATCTGCTCTTCCTATGAAACTTTTGTTATCATGCCGCATAGGAACCTCATAAGATTTAACAACTTTTACACCACGGCACGCTCTTCACGATATTGGCCGCTATGATGGAACAAGTTTTAATAAAAATTTCGTACTGCGACATAAGATTTGTGGTCTGGCGCGTGACTTCCAGTTGTCTCTTTGATTTGCGGCGAGTTCTTGAATGTCTATTCTGATAGCAGACTCAGAAACGTTCCGTTGATGCAGCTTTCGAGATCTTTTGGGATATGTACCGAAACTTTGTACAGCAAGTGCACAACGTGGCTAATGCGTGGCTTGAATTCTCTCTCCCAACACAGACAGCTTTGTCATATTTCTGCACCTATCCTCACGTCGAGCAGGATACAGTTTAGATAGTCTAGCAACTGCCATTGTAGGTAATGGGTGTAGGAGGTGGCATAAGTCCTACTCACCCCGTGAGTCTACACAATTTGCATTAAATGATTCCATCCTCATCAGAATTTGCTACAGGGACCCGAGCTCTTATCATCTACTGCCATACCACTACCAGTACGAAGAACCTCTTCGTTGGATACCTTGACACCTGCTCATTGGGACTTTCCAACGCCAACTGAGAACTCGAAAGCCAATGGTAAGCTGAAGAGAAAATGGAGTCAAAGTCTCTTTCCGATACACCTCTAGCCGCTATTGGACCATCAAGAACGGCTGGGACCGTGGAGGTTGTATCGTTCACTCCTCATGGGTCTGTGGCGACACGGTTTCCAGACATGAAAAGTGGAGAAATCGAGGGCCCATCGAGTTC